CGAAAATCACGGAAGGGAAAGCATAAACGTGCGTTAGTCTACTGGTTTATTCGATAATGCACAAAGAAATGATGTGGGCAGAAAAACACTAGCTAAGAGCAGTATATTGTTTTGTAGCATTGTTTATATGAATTAAAAAAAATAAAAATACATGGCTATGAAGCTAACTTCATTTGTATTCATAGATGAAATTCGTTTCTTTATTATCAATGTTACCGTTGATACTTTTGCACCCTGGTGAGTGCGGTGTCCCCATCATTCCAGTAAATTGTAAGTACTCTAGTGATTGAAATATATTATTAAATCATCTTAATTAACTCTGAAGAGTTTGTTGGCTCAAACACGTGGAACGTCTTAAAGGAATCAATATGTACGAGTATATTACGACAAAAATCTTCATTCAGGTCCCAAAAGGTTTAACACATACATACCGGTACGCGCGCCCTTCAAATCAATTCGACAAAAACCGCAGACTAAGAACAGTGTTGGTCCCCCTCTCTGAAGAAATTATATCAAAATATCATAAAAATTACCGATTTTTGAACAAATTTATATTATAACTAGCTGAATGTGGCGTCATCGACGCTGTCAACTGTTTTAACAGTATTTTCACGTGTTGAAAATGATTAAATGTCTTGCCTAGCTTGATTCAAATAAGTTCTTACTCTATTGACATTGAACAAAACAATGAATAGTAGTTGCGGACTCTGACACTCCCGTTCCAAAATTTCCAACATCCAGCAGTGGTTTTGCATATTACATCCACACGGAAAATGGACTGGTGACATCGCAATCATTAGGTGTGGGGGAGCCATTATACTAAGGAAGCATTAAGAGTACTAGCACATTTTGTTGTGGAAGTTGGAATTGTAATCTGTGGATACCAAGGTTTTTGTGCGTACTCACTTGGTTATCGAATATAACCTTGAAGTGAGATAGGGGAAATTCACCAATACTAGTTTCAATTTTTTGTTAGAATGTGTTACAAATTGTATTAAATAAAACATTACCTATATATTTGTGATAAATGACATTTCATTCATCTTCAATATATAATCCTCCTCAGCAAAACCTCCACATCTCTACTACATTTTATTGAAATTGTAACCTCTCTTACATGTCCGGCCACCTTCCTCTCATATCCATGTCTATATCCATCTCATCAAAATTGCCAAACCTTACTAAAAACTGATTGGAAATCCTATCAATACATCCTTTCAAAAAAAAAATTCACCACATTAATTCCTATCCATTGAAGCAATAAACCAATCAATGAAATACCTAACCAACCATGTATGCCAAGCATTTCATAATAACATTTATAACAAAAATCTACACCCAACATTACACAAATACGTCGATTTTACAAATGTAGAAGCGAGAAAGGCAAACAATACAGACAAGACAGACCCAAAGGCAACTACAAACTCAAATAAGAAACTACTCCATGAAAAAATTCAATGACTTGAAGAGAACAGAAGCACCGACAACATCCACAAAATCATCAAGGCAGTCCGAGAAAAACATACCCACGTATCCTCACTTCCATTGTTTCCCGACTAGTAAATACCTTTATAGATTTTGGCCGGATATTTATTGTTTTAACAAATATTCCTTATCTATAGATACTGTACGGAAATTTCGTTTTATTTCTTACTAATGCATTCTACGTTTGAGTCGATATTGAAAGGTCGTATATACTTGTCATTTGTTTGTTTTGTTACCTAAGCCATACTTCCATTCAGATTCCCCAAAGATAAATTCCGTTCTCTGAAACTCATTCTATCTTTACATCGTAAGCCCTGTTATCTCACTCACTTCACAAACCACCAGCAATAACTCTGAAACACTCAACCTTATTTATCATTGAGGAGCCCAATGGGGGTCATCCTACTTATTTTTACTATGTATTATTGGGTATATATGTACCGCAACCAAACAGTTCTGGTAAGTGGCTATGTTCGCTATATCAGAAAAATATTTAAAAACAAAAGTTATGTTATCCATAAGCATCATCTATTGGCGCATTATTGAATAAATCTTCAGCTATGATAACTCACACGCGTTTTTTAAAATTGAAAGTTGCATTGAAATCAACTTCACTTAGTTAAAAAAAAGTCTGGTCCTAACCAATGGCTGAATGAAAATAGGTATCCGTCCATTAAGATTGGCCCCGCCCGTGTTTTCTTCCGATGAACGTCAAGAAGACCTCTGAGAAGTACATTAACAATCTCATACCCATGTCATTTCGGCTCTCTGAGAACAATGTGGAGGCAAGTGTCAACGCAAACTCCTGACTCAATTGAAAACCAATTTTAAATAAAATTTCTGTGAGAATTATTTATTACATTTACAACAAATTACTATCATTTAATTGAAGTTTCTGTTAAAATATTTTCAGTTTTTAAGGTACGGCAAGGTCAAATGTATTTTTAACGTTTCCTGTACTTGCGGTCCTTCCCGAAGGGTCACAGAAGGACAGTATTCTTTGGAAGAATTAGTTCAACATTCATTACGTTGCACCAAATGTACAACTGCAACATCGACAGATTCTTGGGCATGTATCACACGAGGATTGCGTTAAGTAGTATGCATTTTCAGAGTAACACAAAATGTTGTGCATCGTGTCGTTTTGTCCGTTCCTTAACGCACGTCTTTACGTGTGTTACTTAACTGCGCGAATATAACACTCGTGTGCAGGGGTTTAGTAAACATCCGATTAGTGTCCAAAGGCTAAATTATCACTTGGGGATAATTTCAGTTAAGGGATATCACTTAAGGAATATATTCTAATAATAATAATAAATAATAATAATAATAATAATAATAATAATCCTAAACAAGGAAGCAGTAACTTCTTACCTTGATAAAATTAAAGGGAAAAAATGGTCTTTGAGTCTGTAGTTGTCCCCCCCCCCCGGTAGGCTTCTGTTAAATAACCTGCTATTTCCCATCTATCAACTTTTTTCCCATCTGTCACAGTTGGGCACAAGCCGCCTTCCCCATGGCCCACAGAGCAATTCGAAATTGATTTCGGATCCGCAGTGTAGATATTCTGTTTCCCACAATTTTGCTATTCCGGCAAAAATAAATGTGGAGATTCCTTACACTTTGAACATACCGAGCACGTCAATTGTTAAGGATATTAAGCCCGTAGGTTTAGTGATTGTTTTATCGCGGGTGGTGGCACTGTTGTTTCTACGGTGGAACATGAAATTTCGATTTCGATTTATTTAGTCAAGTTAACAGTTAAATCTGTATGTTACGTATGGGGGAGAAGATAATATGCACACGTTTCTTGAGTTCTAGAATTCCTTCCAATCATTTTAACTATAAATAATTAAAGGATGAGTAAAAGTTAAAGATAAATAAATAAACAAAAATAAAATTTAAAAAAGCGCGAGATTAGTGACATTTCAAAAAACAGACATTTTTGTTCGAGTAATAGAAAACATTTGCAACGCGCATATTTGCACATATTTGCAACGGTAAACGCACTGCAGATTTTATTTTCTGTATTGCTAATAAAATAGTAACTCGCTCTTACCTCTACTGCTACCTACAACATAACGTGCGCATAGTGAAGCTACATTTACACCCAGAAGCAAAACAAGGGGCCATCTCAGCATTTGCTCAATGGATAACGGAAACTGGACAAAAACCTGATCGACATGGATCATTGACCCTGAAGCTGAAGCACATTATTTATTACACGCATATTAAGACTTCTTAAAATATATACAATACAAACGTAAATTAAATCATTATATTTCACTGTTTTGTTAAAATGAACATTTTTCTTTTTGATGATCAGTAACAGTATAGATCAGTATAGAAACAGCTATGCAGCAGAAAAGGTTTTACTTTTAAGTTAAATTGGTGTATATACTTTAATTCTTTAATGTTATATAGCAATGCGTTGTAAAGTAACTTACATATGTGGATTTCTGGTAGTGAGCTGTGGATACCAATACTTTATGAATGATTTCTACGACGTGTGTGGTAATCATTTTCGTGCAATACTGATATTTATATGTTCCCACCGTTAAGTAAGATAGTATGACAAATATTACAGATTCGTAAATAAATAGGCAAGGCAATGGTAAGATTCCAATCTCAATGAAGAGAGGCTTGCCGATTCGGCTCCGACTTACCGTCGCATCGGCTGGTGGAATTTTCTTCATTCAGTTTTCTCCCAACAGTGGGGCAATACGCCATGAGGAAGGTCGCAGAATGGCGATCAAAACGTCGGCACCTTTGCCATGGGCGCGGCGGCACCCGGTCAGCCTAGTAAATAGTGTATGCTCCCGTCTCGTTTCCCGACACGTGTGATGGTGTAGTGCAGGCCAAATTCCAAACTAGAATTCGAACTTTGAAATTATCAAGTAAATATAATATAGATAGTAAGACTCGTCAGAAGGCTTATGACTTACGATAGAAATTGTTCACGTGATCCTTCAAACATTGCCAAACTATGTTCTCGGAAGGCACAACATGTAGCACTTTAGACGCGAAGTCCTCTAAAATGCGAAAGAAATTACCAAACAATCAAGTGCAGTACTGTCACAGCGCTAAACGCATCCACTTTACTCAGATTTTGGTGCTGGGAACGTTTCTCCCTCGTAGCACCTAGGGCCCGTCACACGAGCGTTACGTTGACGCGCGTCGTATTCGGATGTTCTTCTGCGACACGCGATACTTATTGCGCGTAATCTTAATGTTCGTGTGCAGGGGGCGCTAACTAGAAATCTATGTGCATGTGCCTAGACAGTTTCATCATACGGCGCAAGTCATTTTTCAGTTTTGGAAATACACTTTCGCCAAAACCCGATCATCACACGACGTAGCTAATTTAAGACATTGGAAAGCTGTTTTAAATCATTCTGTATTGTGTTTCCAAAAAGGGTCGGAAACTTGGGATATGATAACTGTGAGAATGCTCGTAAAATTGGAAAAGGATTTCATTTACGGTAAATGGAAATTGTTAACAGAATTCTACCAAATATCTGATGTTCTTATATTTTTATTAGCCAAACTGAATAGCTTATTACATTATTATGGAAAAATCTTATTTATACATGAAAGCATTTTTAAATCTCTATGTCAGTTTCAACAATATCTAATTATAAAATTTTAATCTAGATCACACTTTCACGTCGAATTTATTTAAAATTTATTTTTAGACACGATTACTGTCAAAATATCGTTTGTTATTTAATGCAAAAATTCTTATTAAAATTACAAGTTTTAATTAATTAAAATTGAGTCAATACAACCAAAAATTTTTTATTTTAAATTCAAGAGGAGATGGGCGAGAACAGACACGTATAGAAGGTGGTTCGCATCTTATTATAGATTCGTGATGTTTAGTTTTTCAGATTACTGCTAAACAAATTTTCTTTCTGGATTGCACTCACGGAGATTCTGGGCACTTTTCGGCAATCCAAGTATAGTATTTATGGCCGAGCTGGTGCTGCAAAACAAAGAGAAAATTACGGAAACATAATTAGAGACCGGAAATTTAGCAAAATGCCTTCTGTTAATAAGTCATAAGAGTAACATTAGCAAGGAGTCCCTCAATTTTACTTCTGGGTAGTTTTCTTTAGTAGATTTTCATTTTTTCTTTTGTTGTCTACTTTAGTTTCTGATGCCTATTTTTTATATTTCTTAGTTTTGCTCTTTTATGCCTTTACGTCATTAGTTGTCTTGTTTCCTTCTTCTGACACCTATCTGGATCACATTTTATATACCTGAAAGCTTGGACAACACGACAGCACACACGGTTGTTGTTTGTCCTGTGTAAGCAGAGGCTGTGTTAAAAATCTAATTTAGAAAAGGAAGATGATACTAGTCAAGATTTTATCTCCCCCTCCTTTCCTCATTGATGCCGTCAGGCTTTGTATCCTCACGAGTAATACCATCCAACTTTTGAGTATGGCCTCCAAACCCTTTTGAAGACCGCTCTCTGTTTGTTACATGTCCTTCTCAGTGCTAGCCATTACACAAGTGCGAAGAGCGAAACGTTTAATTCCGTTTTCAGTGATGCCATTCCAAGATTCAAAAGAGTCCACAATAGCGTTTCAAAAAGGCAGCGTCGCGAGTAAACAAATTTGTTGCCATCATACCTGGTGGACACGTGGAATAATGACTTCAGTTTCCTCACACGTTAAGTGCTACTGTAAATTTTTGATTTAGAACAAAATGTGCTTCATTTTTATTACAATTTTGAACAATAATTCCTTTTAATGTGATTTTAATTTTTTGCACCCCCACTTTCGCTAGAATAAATGCCCTTTTGAATGTCTTTTTTCGAAAACTTAAAAATGTCTTTTTGACAGTCTTTGTTGGGTGCAATAAATGCCTGAATGTCCAGTGCTCTAATTATAATAAAATGGAATGAAAATGTAGACCGCTGCTTCAACTTTAAAATTTAAAAGGCTTCAGACAGTAACTAAATACATTTCACTAGCCATAGCAAGCCTCCCGCTATTCGTAAATATTATTTCGATTTTGGTGGAAGTGTGTCCCTTCTTGTTACTGTTTCAAGGCTTTTATAAAAATGAACAAGGCCTGTTGAAGAAATGAAATAATCCACACATTCACCAAAATCTCATTAACATTTACGACTTATAGAAGGTTTGCTGCGTTTCGCATTGCTTACCTTGTTACTTCCTCAAGCCCTTCATTAATATTTTACATTTATTTATTTGATTAATATTAGCTGCGCATACATCTTCAACCGACCACAGTTTGCTTTATACCGACCTCTGCCTCCGATTTAACCACAGACATCTGGCTGCTAAAGACGGCTTTAAATTTATAGTCATTAATATATAACAAACATGAATGCGCTCTGGGCATGTCGGCTAAATGACGGATAAATCGACACCCAGAATTCAGAAATTCATAACATACCTAATTGGTCTATTTAGAATGTATGAAGTTGATGATTTAACTTGACAAGACGTTTGAGTAAACAAAATAAATTGAAAGGAAATTAGTTTTATTTTATGAACTGCGGGACAGCTAAGGGTTTTCTTGATTATGGTTCAGCAAGAGTGATACTGAGATCATTAAATAACGACATACGTTTGTTCCCTGATAAAAGAATATTTCCATCTGCACCTTTACACTTAGTTACAAAATGTGGATGCCAAATAAAATATATCTAATGTATTAAAATGATCAAAACTCAAAATTCGATATTTCGTTGAAAGTTGCAAACGCGCATTTCAACATTTTGTATAAAATAGAAATTTCAGTTAAAAAGCAGACTACAATTAAATGGACTACAATTTAAAAGAACGTAACGCTTAAAATTTTATGAAATGAAAATGTTAAAGTTTACTCGATTTAAAAAACTTTATAATATAAAAAAATATTTAACACCTCAATTTAAATGTGCATCCGTACATGAAATCATGGGAGTAAAATCAATACTTACGCTACCACACATCGCAAAAGGCCGTCTGATTTCTCGAGATACTGGGCGAAGACTCCTTAAAACCTAAAACAAGATAATTATAATCAGTAGCGTCTCAAGACTTCACAAAATGGAGGTTAACAAAATGAAGCCTTAGTGGCTCATAGAAACACGCGAGAGGATGACAGGGTTGTCTCAGTCAACAAATTCCAGTCTGGCTCATTCGCAAGTTAGCACCACAGATCTTTAGGAGAATGCCAAATACCTGTTATTGGGGTAATTGGCCTTGTGGCATAGGTTTCAATATGTTACCCTGATTTCAAAATTTTAAATAACTGAGGTTGTATTGATTATTTTGTTTATTTTTATTTTAGCCTTTTCAAAAAATTTAATCATTTTGCTATTTAATCACAATATGATTGTGATTAGAAATTTGTGTGTAAACGCTTCTTTTAGAAAAATTACTATAGGTAGCGGTTAATTCTGAACGGTTATTTTGATAAGCTGTTATGAGAGTCTTTTGGTGTAAGTCAAACTGACAATGAAAAAACTGAATAATCTAAAAACAGTTATTTTTGTAATAAGAGCCATCTATGACTCACTCCAGGTTATTTAGTTTACTACAGCAGAAATCTGCTAACAGCATACTAATTCTCGCTGGAAGAAGGTCGAAAAGGGTAGCGCGGGTCTTATTTTGACTTTGAGGCACACAGTCTGACACCGAACGTACCATCATTTGAATAGAAAAGGACGCCGAAACATAGTTTCTTAGGGAAATCTTACGTTATTCTTTTTTTTAATTTATTGATATGTCCTTGAAGCTGGCTATACTGCAGCAAAAATCATCGGAAAAACCTCAAATTTAGTCTAATTGAAACGTTGCTGATATAAATATTCATAATAAATACTTAGTGTTAATATATAAACATTAAGTGTTAATATATAAACATTAACTGTTAATATATAAACATTAAGTGTTAATATATAAACATTAAGTGTTAATATATAAACATTAATACACAATGACTTTCTCTTAAGACTTTAGTTTAAAAAAATCACATTCTCAGAACATAGAATACACAACGCGAACTTAACTTTTAGAAGGCTCTAAGCGGGTAGAACAAAGTTTATTTGTTCAACGGTACTCATAAGGGTAACTAATAATCATTTTCAAAACTCTCTCTATCAAAAGTTACCAGCATGTAATGATTGGAACGGTAAAATTTGATTGTAAAAAATTGATACATTAATTTTTCTTCAATTTTTGAAAAAGATACTAAAAAGGGAGGAAACGGAAAAGTAACAGGAACAAAAAAACTGAAAAAAAGGAATATGACTAGTCAACAACTGAACAAATTATCATCAAAGGTGCTGGAAAACTAACCATTGCTGCACGGCAGTTGTTTGCCGTTTTTTAATTTCATTGTGATTAAAGTTTTGCATCGAATCTGTAAGAAAGGGTTTAATATCACTGTCGAAAAAATCTATACTCTTAGAACACAAATACAGAAAAACGCAAATTCGAGTTTAATTGAATTCATAAGCGAATAGGGACAACTTGTTATTGCATCGAATCGCTGACTGGTGTCAGCGTCCCCTGGAAAAGAAGTTAAGGAAATACAGGGCATGTTTCCTGGTTCTTAATTGATCCCTCACTGTATCAGCGACGCTTTTCGTCTCTAGAACTTTTTTCCATTTGGTGATTTTCCGATGAAATGTAGATAGCAACAGAATTTGAAAGTCACGTAGACCACTTTCCACAATGTATGAATGTCTCCGAGGGTAAAGCAATAAAAATTATTGTATATTACTATAATTATTAATAATTATTATAATTTTAAGTATGACCCTCGTGAATACCCCGCCCCTATTTAAATAATTGTTTTAAGAACTAAAACGGGTTGATAATAGAACAACCTCAAACTTTTGTCGAATTGCTTACCATAAAAATGTAATAAAACGTCCAAATAGAAAACTACCATTTTATAGATTACAATATACGAATAACAATTCGTGTCTCTTTAGTGACACGAAGCTGGGATCATTGAATCATTCAATCGTTTCCGAGTTACGAAGGATGATAACACATTTTGTATGTATTGCAAATTGCATGGGCACCTTCCTTACCTTATACCATAACATGCTACCGTCTGTTTTTTCGCCATTAATCTATTTGAAGTAGGCCTATAGGGTAATTCCATATTCAGCAGTATGTAACTTTGAAGGTCAGATTATTGTGAATGGTATAAAACAGTAACGTCATAATAATTATTACACGCATTATTAACGTGTCTTATCGTAACGTGTTATATAGGAGATATTGAAAATAAAGATAAATTCGTTGGAGGTTGCCCAAATGACTCCCTTGTGCACAGTTTTTAATACAGATTTATTAATTTAAAGTGCTAGTCAACTTAGCAATTTATGGGGTCGTTACTGAAATAATAGTTTTTGCATGTCCAATAACTATGAGAATCATCTGCGTTCATTTTGAACTTCGTCATTAGTTTAGCCTAACGATATTTAGAAGGAAATAAAGGTAACAAATCTGAACTTACGTCTCCAAGTTCATTGCAAGCCGAAGACCTTCGAGGCACAGCACGAAGATTGTCCCGAAGCTACATGGAGTACCACAAGGATAAAAGTAATTGTTTCACAATGTTCTCTCAAGGGATATTCACCGAATTACTGCTTCAATATTGAACTATGTGACGTTTGTTGGTTAAAATGCAAGAGTAATTTAGTTGCAAAATAGAAATTTTTCTTAAATAAATCCTGCAAGACGAAATACAAAATCTTTGGGTAAATTACATGGAAATCCCACTGTAACGACATGGTTACAGTCAGAAAATGTTACGAAACAAAAGGTTGTAGCCACTCCTAAGTCGAAAAATAAAACAAATAACTTTTCCTACAAACTTCAAACTTACAGAACGATGTACTACGCTTTTAGTGGCGAAGATAACATTTTATATTTATATATATATATATATATATATATATATATATATATATAGGAAATGTTAAACATCGAATTAATATTGGCTATTAATGACAAGTTCTTTTTTGTACCTTAAAGACATTCAAGAAGTAGAATAGTGAGTGGCCATTATCGGGTCAAATGTCTCACCATTGCAAACTTTTCTAATTTTTTGGAACTACTGCATCAAAAGAGCGTTCTGCACAGGCGCGTTTACTCTAATAATTTTCATTTTGTTACTTGCAGAATTCCATTTTTTTAAATGAACTTTCCTTTGCTTGCACTTGCAATATTTTTCAACGAGAATGATTCGATGCCGTCATAGTCGCTAATTGCGCCAGAGAATTATTACTAAACGCGTCTCTTACTTCCCAATAATTTGGACTCCTCCGTAATAAAGACCTAAGAAATGCAATACGTAGTGAACAGAAGTTATGTAATGCTGCAGCAAAAAGCAGTGATTTTCCGACAAAAAACATTTGTCATAAAATTTCGTTACTAAATTTTCGACATTTGTTTCCCATGTTTTCATCTTTGTAAAGTAGGTACAGTTACTTTTCGAAGCTATTCTGCGTGTTAATTCCGCACATGTCTTGATCAGAACATCAATGAAAATACGGATACAGATATGACACGTCGTTTTGGCATTTCTATTATATGCCAATATCATGAACACCACATTTCCTACCATCAATACTAAATTTCTCTTGCTCTACGCAACAAATTAATTCTTTAGTTTCTGTTTGCTAGTGTAAAACGTTAGGTCATCAAAATAAATTATAAAGTTCACAAACTATTTATCGCATTAAAAGAAAGCTTTTGAAGTTACTGGAATTTAGCAAAATGTAATATCTGTACCTAGGAGATACAGGACACCATTACAGGTTTTTTTCAAAAAGGTACCTAATTCTTTAAAAGACATTTTTCCTCTAACTTCTCCGATGTATTGAGAACTTTGATGGACTCCAAAATGGATTAAAAATTAGACGCGCTGAACAACAGCACGCTCACTTGTGCCCTTAGGAATTCACCGCCTTCTAACCCCTCTCCTAAAAAATAAGTTTCTTGTAACGGTGTTCTGCGAGTCCGATTGACCCAATTCAACCTTGTAGTAGTCTCTTATCAGTGAGAATTATTCTTAAAAAGAACGACCTACCTCTTTCAAATGGTTCTCTGGAGAAAACTCCTGCAATGATGGAGCTTTGTTCGGAATTCGAGCAGACTGCTGAAGAGGAGGTACTGGTGAGGGAGATTCTTTCTGCAAAACATTAATAATAAAAATATTTACGTTGTAACAAATTCGAAAAAAATACAAGAAAAAAATGCCAACATACAATGGATTAATTAGGAGATATATTGCGAGACCTATCGCAAGTAGTCTCATCTGTCAAAATATAAATAAAATAAAAAATACAAGATGACTTTCATTATTTCATTATGTAATTACGCCAACAATAGCACATTAGCGTTCCCGCGGGCGCATGAGCAATGGAAATCAAAAGTTCAAAACTTACATATGCGGATCTTATAGGTGACTGGACGCACGAAGATATCCGACGTAAATTCGCTATTGCCTGAAAATTAATTAAATACAAATCAAGAATAAAATATAAAATATACTAGATGTAAGAATACAATTTTATAAATACAAAAAATAGATTTTAATTTGATTCCTAGCATTTCCAATTGTACAATCTCGTATCTCTTGTAATCTACCTTTGATAACATATTCTTTTTTCAATTAGAAATTAAATTCAAAATATGGTCATTGCAGACAGGGAAAGGCCTATGGAATAAACTTAAATAGTAAAATGAAATACATAAAAATGTCTGTTTCTTCCTTATTTGTTACTGATCTTTTGGGACAATCCGCTCCATTTTAACTACATGGGTAACAAGCATGACGTTGCAGAATTAAAACTCCTAAAACCATCGTCTCCTACAGTTTTTGTCGGACAAATGTCGCACGAATTGCCCACGCTCTTCCCTGCCACTTCCCTGTCCTATACACGCAGACGGCACCGATCCCTTTACCCGGGAACACTGCCACCCCTCGTGATTAAATCATTCCCTCCACTAAAGGGACCAACGACCATAGCAGTGGACATGATGCGACTAACCTCCTTCAACTCTGGACTCCTCACTCCGTGGGTAGGAGGAGGGTTGAAGTACTTGGGGGCCGGCGTTCCCAGAACATAGTCTGGGAGGTACATCCCACCTTTAGGCTGCAACATTAGTAAGGGACAAATTACAAAATTAGTCAACTCAATATTTTAAATCATATTTTTTATAGTTTACAATTTTAGTTTCGGGAACAAGACAAGCACATATTCATTATGAAACGCATTGAAAATAAAAGTAGTTTATTTTCCAAGTAACACAAATTTTGTTGTTTATGTATCATTCACTCAATTTTGTTGTTCCCATTCAATGGTACGATGTCTTCAACATCGTCTTTCCATATTTTTCACTTAGGTAACGGGTTTTAATCCTCTGTACAGCCTTCTCTCAAATCTGTTAGAAAGAGAAACTGCTACACTATCTTCTAGATCTAGCGTTTCAGCACTGCCGCTCGAGTTTTCGCCTGCTTCTCAGTCCTCGCTTCCCTCTGTATTGAACTCCTTCCTTTTGTTTAGGTGCAGTTGATAAATTACGTAACGCAAATTCTGAGTATTTTGATTATCCCTCTGCTCCTGTAACGCACCCCTAACGTGTGATTGAACCCGCTCGTAATAATTACGCAACGCTTGCAAACAGTTCCACCCCTATGGAAATGCAAACGGTGAAAATAAGTTATAGGTCACTAAACAAAAGAGTATTAATTTCATTCATTCAGTAACAATTTCTAGTAACTTAAAATAGTTTTGTTTTAAAAAAATAATTAGATAATATTTTAATGTTTTAGTGTGACAAAAAAGGAAGTATTTCAACAAATGTTAAAAAATGAAAAAAAAAACATTCAGTGTTGCATATCACTAAAGGAACACTCCCTACCTCTATGTAACGCAGCGTAACGCTGCCTCTAACCCCCTCCCCCTCTAGCTTTACGTTATAAATGGACAGACCCTTATCGGATGAGGAAAACTGTCAAAGGACTGTCACTTACCGAGATCTTTTTCCAGGTATAAAATCGTTCTGTTCTTAGACTTTGGGTCCGATATTGCAGATTTACGTCTTACAGAAGTTCTATCTTAAACAAGTTTCACTGTATTTTGTTCTTTTGAAATGCATGTCGTCAATGTTCTCGCGATTGTTTTACCTTCATACCCACACCTTCATATGGAGCACGACAATTCCCATAGTCTGTTCGTCAATGCTTACGACTTATCTGACATCAGGCAAGAGGAAGGCACCAAGGAAGAGGCGGTCCGCTATTAAATAGTTTCTATTTACGTGTTGAGTTATGAATCAGCCATTTTCTTTTTATATTCTTGGTATTAAAGAACAGTGGAACTATGTATTCGTTTACACTATACTAAGTTATTTAGTGGAGATTAATTTATTTTTGATAGGCCAAGTCTGGCCACGCGTACATCCTGCTTCAGTACGCGCAAATATCTGCAAGTACCCCTATTTGGGGGGAGAGGGAGGATCAGCATTTTATCTGAATCCCGATTTTTATTCCCCAAGGTTGTTAGCTCTTAATGTTTGGACGATAAGAGGATGATGATCGTTAGAGATGAAAGGGCGGCACACACACACATCTAGACACACAAATACACCCATGTTTGGACACGAACCCGCGGTCTTGTTAGAGATAGATACGGCACTACTGCCCCACGAACTCTTCCATCTTGACCGGCAGGTAAAAATTAATATTAACGAAGATCTTTTTGTCAAGATATTTAAATTACTGCCACGCTAAATGAAAGCGTTTTATTTGTTGTTCTTGAACACAGTTCACTGGATAATCAGTCGGTACCGAAAAAGTGAACCGTTCAGAATTCCTTTTTAAAAAGTCCTTTTCGATTACATACATTTCACAAGCTTATTCTTAAATTAGAGATCTAGAAGGTAAAGTGCAGTTTCTCTTGCTATCAGATTTGAAAGAAGTCAGTACAGAGGATCACAATCCGTTACCGAAGAGAAAAATCTGGAAAGACAATGTTGATGACATCGTACCATTGATTGAGTGAATGATAAATGAACAACAAAATTTGTATTACTTGGAAAATATACAATTTTTTTCAATGCTTTTGATAATGAATATGTTCTTATCTTTTTCCCGACACATACATTTTAAACTATAAAAAAATATTAAGTTTAAAATATTGACCTGCCTAATTTTGTAATATCTTGTTATAGTTTGGAAAATCATTGTGTGGTTTTATTAAGCAATATTTTGTACGAATGCTTCAGGTCACTAGTTTGAAATTATTAATGTGCAACCATTTGCAAAAAGGCACATTTCCATTAGAAAAGGCGAACTACAACGCCCATTAGATCAGTATATTGACGTGAGATCACAATCACACAGAAATTCACGAATGATTTTGGCAATCAAATCTGAAATCTTCAATTTCGAGATAGAAATACGTAAAAACTCCATCGAAATTATCAGATAAGAATTTGCAAACAATTTTGATGACGGGAAGGCAAAATTTTTTCCAAGTTTGATAAAATATTTTATTCCTCCAAAAACCGTTCACTTATTAGAAATTTATGTTTAATATTTTAATTTATTTCGAATTACTTCCGTTTCATTTTGTTTAATACAAAATCTCTTTTGTCTGCTATTAAAAGAATGGCAGGAAAAGAGTCTTCAGTTTGTGGATAAGTCTGTGAGATATGAAGTGAAATGCCGAAAGAATGAAGGATGAATAAATGCTGAAACGTTTGCACTTTAAATGACTTTATTAATTATTATTATTATTATTATTATTATTATTATTATTATTATTATTATTATTATTATTATTAATATTTAACTAAACTGAATTGATTTCCTTACAATGATAACCTAATTATTTTTTAAACGTTCCGAAGCATTTTTTGGTCCTCAGATATATGAAAATAAAAACTTTTACACACAAAATATAACTTAATATGAGATAAACACTACAAAACATGAAACGTAGACGAATTAATATTCATAATGACCATAATACAACTATAATTTCAACGAACGTCACGAAATTAGTTCCAACACATTTCGCATAGACTGAACTCCTCTTCCTCCATTAACATCTAAGGGTACGTGATTTGCAGCCATTTAAGTTATTTCATATGTAGCCCTTCACAAAAAGTGTTCGCTGTCCTCTAACGTACCTGTCGGCCAGAACTTTGGCGCGTGCACTCGCGGTGTCGCGAAGTCTTCACCCTCGGCAAACTCCCGTAGAGACGGCGATGCTGTTCGCGCTCGATTACCTAAACGATAAAAAGAAGAAATTTTAGCAAGAAGAACAATCGAATATTGACTATGTCCCTGACTCGACGCAGAATGTACACAGCTAACACACTGCTCATTATTAAAAGACAACCAAAAGGAAGTAAATAGTCCAAAATATTATTTAATTATGTAAGCTCATAACAAAAGATTATCTAATCTCTACCAATGTTAATTATTTCGAAACTTTTATTTAGTGTTCTGTTAAAAACTCAAAATGAGTGATTTATTGTTCTCTCAGGACATTATCAAAATGTATTATATTGCAATATACAGAATACGAGAATTATCACAGTATCGTATATTAAAACGTAATAGAACATCCTCAAACTTGTGTTAATTCGTTATATACATATACATATATACATATACATATACATATATATATACACATATATATATATATATATATATATATATATATATATATATATATATATATATAATTTGACGTTTCGATCATTACTTCTGAGTTTTCTTCCTGATCAACATTATTTAATAACAAATAATGAACATTATTTATTGCTTTGATTCATGTTGCTTTGTCATCCAACTACAATGAGCGAGAATCTTTCAAGACTTCGTAAGTCTTGAATATCGACATTCAAGGTGTAAATATTCATGGCAACTTTTAACGAACGTTTATGCTAGCGTACCAAATGTTTCAAATTTTCAATTTTTGTGTTTGTTCTAAAACATCAGTCCGAAGGTTAAAGGTGAATATGTCTTATGTCCCAACATTTTGTTATGTAGTAATTACCAACATTGCTATTGTTTCGAAAACCAGGGCTTCGAATGAAATTATGGCTTAACAGTTAAAGCGTTCGGAGTTTGTTTTAAAATCGGTCTACATCCATTATTTCGGATCCTTTCTCAAAATTACAAGAGTTTTACAAAAAAAAAAAAACATTCTCAGTAAAAATCTTACATTCAAAGATTTTGAAGTTTAGCAAGAGTGTGTGTGTGTGTGTGTGTGTGTGTGTGTGTGTGTGTGTGTGATCTTTGTGCGACTTATTTCCGAAATACTTCACAAACTCCTAGTCGATGTCGCTTTAGAAGAAACGTGCATTCCGAACACAAAGCACTAGCTTAACTATACCATGAAATGGAAGACTTCCAAGACCATGCTAAATAGTACGAGCCATTGCAAAACGCCCATTGAAAACAAGTTTGTTATGAGACAAATTGCATACGTTGTATTAACAACTTAAAGCCACGTCGTTGATACTTCATTTTTCACAAGTTTCCAACCCACAGCTGCCACTCTGAGCACTTTCTTATATACGTTTCGCAGGCATCACAATGCCGAATGTTCTAGATTTTTGTGTCACTTAATCTTTTGCAATAAAGCGCCTCCTGCCTAAGGCCGGTTTTACACTGTAAAAGATATTTGGCAAATATCTTTGATGAAGAACTTTGTTGAAGTTCTTTGAACTTTGAACTTCGTACATTGCATCCAATATTTTATGTAGTTGTGCTCGCGATTCAAGGTGAATGACGCACAAATAGGCGTGTTTGTACTACTTTATGCTTAACTAATCTATGTTTAATGCTGAAGAAGTAAAATTTAGGGGATGAGACCATAGAACAACCTCATGCTATTCATCCGTGGTGAGGCACACCACGGATACCGGTCGCACATTGTGAAGCATTAATTGATGAATTTGGAAATTAAGAATTGAGCATGGACAAGGAAACATTCAATTTTCTTTGTCGTTCTTCTTCCTTCTTTCAAAACTGGGTCCTCTGATTTTGAAGTTAAAAAAATCAACTTTATGAATTCGGCATTTTCAAACCCTCACAATTTTCACTTCTCGGGAAAATGTGTCGTACACGTCAATTCGTTTGGCTTTACTTTTGTAGTCCGGATGGACAGAATTGTATTATCAACATTCCAATTGCTCAAACTCTGCAATTTAAACTTTGGTTGAAGCATTACCCCAGGTCTATCAATCTGACGCCGTGTTATCAAATGTATGATAAACCTTCCGTTCGAGGCTACTATTTCATTAAAGAAATTGTATAAAATAAATCTATATAATATTAGCAATTACACCGCTATATGTTCTTTTATAAAATATGTTTTTTGTTATTGATGTCGCATCAACTTTTAGTCCATAGCGATCTCTATTGCATTTAACAGTATGATAACTGTCGAGATGACATGATATGGTGATGATGGGTGAAAGGACGAACACAAAAACAACCATACCCGAGGCGGGTCTCGAACCCGAACTACACTACTGCCTAAACGATTTCTGCCATTCGGGCTGGCACAAAAGATCTTTTACAGAGTAATACCGGCCCTAAATCTGCTTCTATCAGCGACGCTCGCCACGAAAAGCAGTCTTGCCTAAATACCTGCCCCGTGTCCCCAGCCGGGGAAGCGGCTCGGCGTCTAGCCGTGAACTTGGTCGCCGCAGCGGCCGCC